GGTTGTGTGGTAAGTTGAGACAGTAGATGAAAAAAATTAATTATTTTATTGTTAAGAATATCTCCTTGTTTATCCAGCTGTAAAAGCAGAGATAACATATGAAATCCTATTCTGTTCACGACCTATGGAGTAGCAACTCCGATTATTGTATATGTAGAGTGTTAGATGAGATCAAGGTTTTGGATCATTGGCGCTAGCGTTTGAATATTTCTGTAGCTGAATCTATGAGACCTTTTTTACCAATCCTTAGAAGCATCTGGTCAAGGTCATGTTAGATATCAAATGTCAAAGCTTTCCACTTTCCTGTTTTAAGATTTTCGAAAGTTACCAGTAATAATTTAATCACTGTTGATACTGACATTAGTGCTTCATGGATGGAAATCTCATTTAAATTTTGGATGGTTTTTGTGCAGGAAAGACACACGCTAACTCACGCAACATTTAACAGGATTGATTTGACATACATATATGTCTTAGACAAATCCTTATCCAACCACACATTTTTCCAGTTTCATTTTTGCAGGTAGAATTGATATAACTGTTTGAAGATAACTGCCATTTTCTATAAGATTGAACTTTCAGAAGTTATTATGTTATCTATATTGGATTTTATATCCAGATTTAGATGTGACCTATCGAAGTATATCTACTGTGACTTTACCGTACGTCGATGCCACCCCGGGCCAAGGTGACACACAGCACATGTTGTCTTTGTAGGGATCACAGAACTAAACGCTACAGTGTTATCCTGTTTGATACAATTTAGGTCCATTTTATTGATCAATGCTTTTTGGCACTTGATGAATCACACTGATTTAATGTAGTAAAAATAATGATAAAATACAATGAAAAGTATTTTTGGTACCGGTTGTTGTAGAAGTGTGCTGTAATTTGTAGATACATGTGGTGGGTGTGGTTCTGTGGTCCCTCTGTAGCTATAACTGAACTCTATCACTCATTAGGGAATTTCTCACCATAATAGTGGTTGATTACAAAGGCATGCAAGCTTACAAAGGCATGCATGGTTACAAAGGCATGCAGGGATATGCACTGACAATTTTCCTTGATGTCTGTCTTAAACAAAGTCATAAAATGAATGCAGTAATAGTTTGAAGCATTAAAAAAGTTCATGTTAAACTTAATTTTTAACAAAAGATAAAAAGAATAAATTAAACTTCCTTTGAAATATGTTTAATATACTGATATGGTAGAGAAAATTGGATTGATATTCAGTTAAGAGTCTTCATTGTAAAAGTTTGAAAATTTAAGAAGTATCATAACAATGTGTAACTATAGTAACTATATACCAGGTATATAAGGGGAGTTTTTGACCTACAGGTGTTGGTAGAATAGGTCCAAAAACTATCAAATTACAAGACTGTTATGAAATAAGAAATTATTGTGGATTTCAGCCATCTTTGTAGTCAACCACTTAGGTTTTATTTCCATGTGTGAATGAAGGTATTCTAACACAGCATACAGACATAAGGCCAGTCAACCATACAGTATTTATTTCATGTGTGAAAGAAGGTATTCTAAGACAGCATACAGACATAAGGCCAGTCAACCATACAGTATTTATTTCCATGTGTGAAAGAAGGTATTCTAACACAGCATACAGACATAAGGCCAGTCAACCATACAGTATTTATTTCCATGTGTGAATGAAGGTATTCTAACACAGCGTACAGACATAAGGCCAGTCAACCATACAGTATTTATTTCCATGTGTGAAAGAAGGTATTCTAACACAGCATACAGACATAAGGCCAGTCAACCATACAGTATTTATTTCCATGTGTGAAAGAAGGTATTCTAACACAGCATACAGACATAAGGCCAGTCAACCATACAGTATTTTCTTCCATGTGTGAATGAAGGTATTCTAACACAGCATACAGACATAAGGCCAGTCAACCATACAGTATTTATTTCCATGTGTGAAAGAAGGTATTCTAACACAGCGTACAGACATAAGGCCAGTCAACCATACAGTATTTATTTCCATGTGTGAAAGAAGGTATTCTAACACAGCATACAGACATAAGGCCACATATTAACTGCTTAGGTGTAGGTGAAGTGCATTCTGTTACCATGTCATATGATTGATTTTGAGTTATCTAACCTTTATATTATTTACAGGAGAATCACCTGGTTGTTTAGATCAGCATAAGCCCTTACGGAAAGTGTGGGGGAGGGCTATTGGAAAGAATATAGTATTCATAGGAATTTCTACCAAATTGAAATGAGTATTGGTGGGCTTATTACCAGACATGGGCTTATTACCAGACATTGGCTTATTAACAGGAACTTATTACTTCACACGGGCTTATTACCAAACATAGACCTATTACCACAGGCTTATTACAAAACAGGCTTATTAACATGGGCTTATTACCAAACATAGACCTATTACCACAGGCTTATTACCAAACATAGACCTATTACCACAGGCTTATTACCAAACATATACCTATTACCACAGGCTTATTACCAAACATATACCTATTACCACAGGCTTATTACCAAACATAGACCTATTACCACAGGCTTATTACCAAACATAGACCTATTACCACAGGCTTATTACCAAACATAGACCTATTACCACAGGCTTATTAGCAAACTTAGACCTATTACCACAGGCCTATTACCAGTCATAGACCTATTACCACAGGCTTATTACCAAACATAGGCTTATTAATTAACATGGGCCTATTACTAGACATGGACTTATTATCATGGGCTTATTACAAGACATGAGCATATTGCAGGATTGATATTGTGACTGTACTGATGTCTGTATTGCTGTGGCATTTTCAATTGTACAACAGTTAAATGTTGTGTAGGTATTTTATACTGATCCACTGTAAAGTCTTTCTTGTGTTTCTTAATCTTTTTTACAGAAAGATTTTATCATGTTTATTGGATGTTTTTTATCCTGGGGCATCAGGTTGAGAAATTCTCAGTGCTGCTTTGATCTATTAAGAAAAGTTTTAAACATTTTTCATTCATGCTCATGTGGTGGCAAAGATCAGCTTATATAAACTATTTATTCAACCTGTTGTTTTTAATCTGCTCCTCAGCATTTATTTATCTTTTTTATTGAAAAGTCACAGTTGATGGTTTATAAATTTCTACAGTTAAATGAATGAGTTCCTATTGGTCAAAGGAGCATGGTCAAATATGTAATGAGGTATTAGGCCTCACTGTTGCTTTATCTCTGGTGGGGCGTGAACTATCTTGGTTAAAGGCATTGGAGATGGGGATGATGAAAAAACATATTAATGGCTGGACTCGTTCCATATAGGCTGATGGATAGGAGTGAAAAATCAGACAACGATTGACACCTCTTTATTATACCTCTTCACTTGCTTGCTGGCCAGGACGATACAAGCCATGGTTGACTCCAGACCTGGAGACTTCTAATTATCTCTTGGTCAGAGTAAGGGACTAGTCGAGATACACAGCCTATCACCAGCCTTAGATCTTGGATTATTGCCAAGATGATCAATTGTCCCTGGGTTCAATGCTGCTTATTGAAAATTAAATTTTATAATCAAGAATAGATAATGAAATTAGAATGGTTAAAAATCCCATCCCAAATGTAATCATATGTAATACACAATTGCTAGACATTAAAAAAACAATGACAATCATGTTACTCTGTAGCATTATGATGTGTCCTTGTTATTTCCTGTGATTAAATGAGGATGCTTTGCTAACAATATACTAGTGATTAACATGTGCCTACTAGACCTTGTAGTTTTTGTATACCCTTGATAATGTTATTTTGTATTGTTCATGCAAAACATGGCATAAGATATCTGATTTATCTTTGACTTTCATTTTCCTGACTCTGTGCAGCAGTTACTGTTGTGTGTTATCTTATATATCTGGACTTTTGCACCACGTTTGTGTGACTAGAGTGATAACTGGCACAGAGGAATTTTGAGAGAGATGATCATGTTGATTTTGTAGTCATTCCAGCTTATGTATTTATAGATAAAACGAGGTGAAAATTATTACAAATTCAAATTGACAATCAAATTAACAAACTTTTGTCTTAATAAGGCATTGAAAAGAATCATCTGTCCAGTTAAAAAGTGAAAAAGAATATATATTTACATATAGAAAAAATGTCACTTTTACGGGAAAGTTAAGGATTGGTTTTTTTTTTTTGTTGACTAGGATTGATGTCTTTTGAAATAATTTTTGGTTCTGTATAATAATCCCTGAACATGATGTGTCTTCATCTCATTGTGTGTGGTTTCTACTGTTAAAGTACATAATTTTATATGTAGATTGTTATTTTGCTTACTAGGATTTATGTCTACTGAGATAATTTTTGTATAATAATCCCTGAACACGAGGTGTAACCATCTCATTGCGTGTGGTTTTTATAGTACACAGTAGGTTGTTTTATCATTAAACCAAAATGGGAGATTTTTTATGGAAAAAAAAATAATAAATATTCAGGGTTTTATTTAATTAGATGGATGATTATGTTATGAACTATGAAGAGATTCATAATGAAGCTGTGATAATTGATATATTTACTTCAAATATGCTTCATACTGTTATATAATATTTAATGCTTAAGCTTAGCTTTCTTCATGTATGATATAAATATATTACCTCCAGGCTTATATCAGTAATACTGTTCCACCCAGTTCCGTTCTGTCCCAAATCAATATCACACCTTGAGAAGGTATAATACATGTATCTGATAGTAACTGTCAACTTCTACACCTTGTCATAATAAGGGGGTTATAGGTCAAGGTTAAACCAAGGTCAAACATTGATACTTATTATACATGGGAGGCATTTATGTCTCCAAGACATTTTCTAGATTTCTAATTTGTCAAGATAAATTCCAAATTTGAAAGGTATCATACCACATGTTAAAAAAATGATTTTAATAATTGAATGCTGAATAGAACAGACATGATTTTGTTAAAATTACAAACCTAACAGAACACTTCTTGCCTTTTTGACAGAAACATACAGCATACAGCAGGCTATCGACAACATTGGCTTTGGGAAGTTCCAGATTAAACTCTCCATCCTTACAGGATTTGCTTGGGTATGTACACACAAATGTACCAAAATTTATTCACTCATAAACCATAACATCTCAGAAAAGTTTGAATGTCTGAGTTGAAGGCTCAAGGTCAACCATTAGTGGATTTGTATTGTTGATGATGCCTTGCATAACAAAGCTGACATGGTAGTATTTTTTTCTTATTTTGAAAAGTTAATAATTTAAAGTTTACAAATTATGTTTCACAGATGGCAGATGCTATGGAGATGATGATACTTGCCATTTTGTCTCCAGCTTTACACTGCGAATGGCAGCTAGAGAGCTGGCAACAGGCCCTCATCACCACGGTAACACACTGACCTGTTATTGACCTCTGATTTTATACAGAATAACATATATACACATTGATAAATATTTCAGAAAACACTCTAAATCAGAAATCGTATGTGATGGCCAAAAACCAACTATATTTCAGGTTAAAACATGCTGTGCTTGTTATTTAAGGAAATGTGTTATTGGTGTTGTAATATGAGGAAGAAGAAGGGGATGGGTATCAGGATGGGATAGGGATTGGGATTGGGTAGAGAGCTGAGGAAAGGGATGATGATGGGGAGAGTAAAGGGGATGGGGATTAGGATGGGGATGAGGAAGAAGGGGATGGGACGGGATGTGATGGGGGTGGGGATTGGGATGAGGAAGGAGAAGGGGATGGGATGGGGGTGGGGATTGGGATGGAGAGATGAAGCTGAGGAAAGGGATGAAGATGGGGAGAGTGAAAGGGGATGGGGATAAGGAAGGGGAACAGGATGGGGATAAGAATGGGGATGAGGAAGGAAAAGGGGATGGGGATAGGGATGGGGATGACGATGAGGATGGGGATGGATTTAGGGATGGGGATGGGGATGAGGATGATGATGGGGATGGGGATGATGATGGGGATGGGGATAAAGATGAGGATGGGGATAGGGATGGGGATGGGGATGATGATGGGGATGGGGATGGGGATGGGGATGATGATGGGGATGGGGATGGGGATGGGGATGATGATGGGGATGGGGATGGGGATGGGGATAAAGATGATGATGGGGATGGGGATGGGGATGGGGATGATGATGGGGATGGGGAGAAGGAAAGAGAAGGGGATAGGGATTGGATGAGGATAGGTATAGGGATGGGAATGGGGATGAGGAAAGGAATTTGGGAAGTGAATTGATATTGAAATGGGAATGAGGAGGTAGATGAGGTTTGAAAATTGGAATATTACATACGACATGTGAATACACTATTGTGATTTTAGAGACAGTTTGTTATATACATTATTGACAGTTATTAAAACAAAAATGATGTGTGTTTTGGTATATTATGTTACAGATTGTGTTCTGCGGGATGTTCTGTAGTTCAAGTTTCTGGGGTAGCGTGTGTGACAAGTATGGTCGTAGATCTGTGAGTATCCAACAACAAACAATATATCATATTTTTCAGATTATAAGCCTTTTTTCCTCGCCAGTTGGGAGTGTAGCTTATATACCGGTGGGGTTTATATGTAAATAAAAAATAAAACAGCAGGATGAAAAAAACAAAAACAAAAAAAACTGGAAAGGTAGCAATACCTGCCCATATACTGGTGCAGCTTATAACCTGAAAAATACAGTAGGCTCTTACATAATTAAGGAAATTTGTATCTAATTAAAGATTTTAAACCATAGTAATTGGTTGTATTTTGTCTGTATCTGAAATGTGTTTCACAAACAGACCAATATGCATCACTACATTCTGTAAAAAAAATGTGTGCACTATTAAAACCACTGTTTCGTGTAGAGAAGTTTCATTGCATCAGGTATTTAGTTGTGTTAGAGATAAACTTCAGGATAAGTCTCTGTAAAGTTTAATTATAAAGGTGTTTAGTTGTGTTAGAGATAAACTCCAGGATATGTCTCTGTAAAGTTTAATTGTAAAGGTATTTAGTTGTGTTAGAGATAAACTTCAGGATATGTCTCTGTAAAGTTTAATTGTAAAGGTATTTAGTTGTGTTAGAGATAAACTTCAGGATATGTCTCTGTAAAGTTTAATTGTAAAGGTATTTAGTTGTGTTAGAGATAAACTTCAGGATATGTCTCTGTAAAGTTTTATTGTAAAGGTATTTAGTTGTGTTAGAGATAAACTCCAGGATATGTCTCTGTAAAGTTTAATTATAAAGGTGTTTAGTTGTGTTAGAGATAAACTCAAGGATATGTCTCTGTAAAGTTTAATTATAAAGGTGTTTAGTTGTGTTAGAGATAAACTCAAGGATATGTCTCTGTAAAGTTTTAATTATAAAGGTATTTAGTTGTGTTAGAGAATAACTCCAGGATATGTCTCTGTAAAGTTTTATTGTAAAGGTATTTAGTTGTGTTAGAGATAAACTCAAGGATATGTCTCTGTAAAGTTTTAATTATAAAGGTATTTAGTTGTGTTAGAGAATAACTCCAGGATATGTCTCTGTAAAGTTTAATTATAAAGGTATTTAGTTGTGTTAGAGATAAACTCCAGGATATGTCTCTGTAAAGTTTAATTATAAAGGTATTTAGTTGTGTTAGAGATAAACTCAAGGATATGTCTCTGTAAAGTTTAATTGTAAAGGTATTTAGTTGTGTTAGAGATAAACTCAAGGATATGTCTCTGTAAAGTTTTAATTATAAAGGTATTTAGTTGTGTTAGAGATAAACTCAAGGATATGTCTCTGTAAAGTTTTATTGTAAAGGTATTTAGTTGTGTTAGAGATAAACTCAAGGATATGTCTCTGTAAAGTTTAATTGTAAAGGTATTTAGTTGTGTTAGAGAATAACTCCAGGATATGTCTCTGTAAAGTTTTATTGTAAAGGTATTTAGTTGTGTTAGAGATAAACTCCAGGATATGTCTCTGTAAAGTTTAATTGTAAAGGTATTTAGTTGTGTTAGAGATAAACTCCAGGATATGTCTCTGTAAAGTTTTATTGTAAAGGTATTTAGTTGTGTTAGAGATAAACTCAAGGATATGTCTCTGTAAAGTTTAATTATAAAGGATTTAAAAACGTATTCTTTTGATGTGTGTTCATATCATTTCAGAAAACTGTGTTATGGTTAAACACTAAACAAAATGTTAAGTAATAGATATTGACTGTAGCTTAACAGGAGGTGGGGGGAGGGGGGTTAGAATTATTCAGGTGAGTTTTAAGTGAACTGTATCCTAACGATCAAGGGAAACTGGTCATTGGTAATCATCTTGTTTATGGAATATATAAATAAAAACAATTGCCAAACAAGCTTTAAGCTTATATCAATCGCTGTTGTAGGTCAGGATGGAAGAACACCTACAGTGTTATTGTGAGGGGAAACCAAGATATTCATATGTGTTCTCCCTGTTATAGGAGCTGATTCTGTCTGATACTATACATGTATGATTTATAGGAGCTGATTCTGTGTTCTCTGTCTGATACTATACATGTATGATTTATAGGAGCTGATTCTGTGTTCTGTCTGATACTATACATGTATGATTTATAGGAGCTGATTCTGTGTTCTGTCTGATACTATACATGTATGATTTATAGGAGCTGATTCTGTGTTCTGTCTGATACTATACATGTATGATTTATAGGAGCTGATTTCTGTCTGTCTGATACTATACATGTTCTCTCTGTCTGTCTGATACTATACATGTATGATTTATAGGAGCTGATTCTGTGTTCTCTCTGTCTGATACTATACATGTATGATTTATAGGAGCTGATTCTGTGTTCTGTCTGTCTGATACTATACATGTATGATTTATAGGAGCTGATTCTGTGTTCTGTCTGATACTATACATGTATGATTTATAGGAGCTGATTCTGTTCTCTCTGTTCTCATATGATTTATAGGAGCTGATTCTGTGTTCTCTCTGTCTGATACTATACATGTATGATTTATAGGAGCTGATTCTGTGTTCTCTGTCTGATACTATACATGTATGATTTATAGGAGCTGATTCTGTGTTCTCTCTGTCTGATACTATACATGTATGATTTATAGGAGCTGATTCTGTGTTCTCTCTGTCTGATACTATACATGTATGATTTATAGGAGCTGATTCTGTGTTCTGTCTGATACTATACATGTATGATTTATAGGAGCTGATTCTGTGTTCTCTCTGTCTGATACTATACATGTATGATTTATAGGAGCTGATTCTGTGTTCTCTCTGTCTGATACTATACATGTATGATTTATAGGAGCTGATTCTGTGTTCTCTCTGATACTATACATGTATGATTTATAGGAGCTGATACTATACATGTATGATTTATAGGAGCTGATTCTGTGTTCTCTCTGTCTGATACTATACATGTATGATTTATAGGAGCTGATTCTGTGTTCTGTCTGATACTATACATGTATGATTTATAGGAGCTGATTCTGTGTTCTGTCTCTATACATGTATGATTTATAGGAGCTGATACTATACATGTATGATTTATAGGAGCTGATTCTGTGTTCTGTCTGATACTATACATGTATGATTTATAGGAGCTGATTCTGTGTTCTCTCTGTCTGATACTATACATGTATGATTTATAGTATGATTTATAGGAGCTGATTCTGTGTTCTGTCTGATACTATACATGTATGATTTATAGGAGCTGATTCTGTGTTCTCTCTGTCTGATACTATACATGTATGATTTATAGGAGCTGATTCTGTGTTCTCTCTGTCTGATACTATACATGTATGATTTATAGGAGCTGATTCTGTGTTCTGTCTGTATATACTATACATGTATGAGTTATAGGAGCTGAGTCTGTGTTCTGTCTGATACTATACATGTATGATTTATAGGAGCTATACTATACATGTATGATTTATAGGAGCTGATTCTGTGTTCTCTCTGTCTGATACTATACATGTATGATTTATAGGAGCTGATTCTGTGTTCTCTCTGTCTGATACTATACATGTATGATTTATAGGAGCTGATTCTGTGTTCTCTCTGTCTGATACTATACATGTATGATTTATAGGAGCTGATTCTGTGTTCTCTCTGTCTGATACTATACATGTATGATTTATAGGAGCTGATTCTGTGTTCTCTCTGTCTGATACTATACATGTATGATTTATAGGAGCTGATTCTGTGTTCTCTCTGTCTGATACTATACATGTATGATTTATAGGAGCTGATTCTGTGTTCTCTCTGTCTGATACTATACATGTATGATTTATAGGAGCTGATTCTGTGTTCTCTCTGTCTGATACTATACATGTATGATTTATAGGAGCTGATTCTGTGTTCTGTCTGATACTATACATGTATGATTTATAGGAGCTGATTCTGTGTTCTGTCTGATACTATACATGTATGATTTATAGGAGCTGATTCTGTGTTCTGTCTGTCTGATACTATACATGTATGATTTATAGGAGCTGATTCTGTGTTCTCTCTGTCTGATACTATACATGTATGATTTATAGGAGCTGATTCTGTGTTCTCTCTGTCTGATACTATACATGTATGATTTATAGGAGCTGATTCTGTGTTCTCTCTGTCTGATACTATACATGTATGATTTATAGGAGCTGATTCTGTGTTCTCTGTCTGATACTATACATGTATGATTTATAGGAGCTGATTCTGTGTTCTCTGTCTGATACTATACATGTATGATTTATAGGAGCTGATTCTGTGTTCTGTCTGATACTATACATGTATGATTTATAGGAGCTGATTCTGTGTTCTCTCTGTCTGATACTATGTATGTTCTCTGTGTTCTGTCTGATACTATACATGTATGATTTATAGGAGCTGATTCTGTGTTCTCTCTGTCTGATACTATACATGTATGATTTATAGGAGCTGATTCTGTGTTCCGTGTTCACCTGTTACTTCGGTATCCTTAGTGCTTTCTCACCGACCTTTATATGGATGCTGATCCTAAGAGGACTTGTAGGCTTCGGTATAGGCGGAGCTCCACAGTCGTACGTATTAAACAATATAATTTCCCTCCAGAAAACAGTTCAAAGATAAAGGTGTAGAGATGAAAATACATATTGGCAGTAAACATCATGTAGTCAGTGTAGAGATATATTATATTGACAGTGTAGAGATATATTATGTTGACAGTGTAGAGATATATCATGTTGACAGTGTAGAGATATATCATGTTGACAGTGTAGAGATATATCATGTTGACAGTGTAGAGATATATTATGTTGACAGTGTAGAGATATATTATGTTGACAGTGTAGAGATACATGTTGACAGTGTAGAGATATATCATGTTGACAGTGTAGAGATATATTATGTTGACAGTGTAGAGATATATTATGTTGACAGTGTAGAGATATATTATGTTGACAGTGTAGAGATACATTATGTTGACAGTGTAGAGATACATTATGTTAACACTGTATACTTTGTTGACAGTGTAACCCTGTATGCTGAGTTCCTGCCTTCATCATCGAGAGCAAGATGTGTAGTGTTAGTTGAGGTATGTTGATTCTCAAAATTCCTAAGAATGTCAGAGTTTATTGTTTAGAAAAAGATCCTTATAGTTATATCAAAGAGGAAAAAATCTCCTCAAATAAAATCATTGTTAATTGTGATTATTTTTGTTAAAAGTAAAGATTAACTGCAAAATGTTGGTACTTCTTAACACAACCAGTAGAAGATTAGAGTGTGATGTTTTGGTGACTACACGGTAACCTTCATCTTATAACACAACCAGTAGAAGATTAGAGTGTGACGGTGACTACACAGTCACCTTCATCTTATAACGCAACCAGTAGAAGATTAGAGTGTGACGATGACTACACAGTCACCTTCATCTTATAACGCAACCAGTAGAAGATCAGAGTGTGACGATGACTACACAGTCACCTTCATCTTATAATACAACCAGTAGAAGATTAGAGTGTGACGGTGACTACACAGTCACCTTCATCTTATAACACAACCAGTAGAAGATTAGAGTGTGACGTTTCAATGACTACACGGTCACCTACATCTTATAACACAACCAGTAGAAGATTAGAGTGTGACGATGACTACACAGTCACCTTCATCTTATAACACAACCAGTAGAAGATTAGAGTGTGACGTTTCAATGACTACACGGTCACCTTCATCTTATAACACAACCAGTAGAAGATTAGAGTGTGACGTTTCATGACTACACAGTCACCTTCATCTTATAACACAACCAGTAGAAGATTAGAGTGTGACGTTTCAATGACTACACGGTCACCTTCATCTTATAACACAACCAGTAGAAGATTAATGTTCACCTTATCAACCCAAACTAAATGTTGGAAAATGTTGAGTCATTTGATCTACCTCCATTGACTATCGTATCTCTTACACAACCAGTTGATGGTCCTATTGCCCGATTATGTGTTGATTGGGTGTTAAGAATGTAATGATAAATAATAATAGAACTCCTTACCTGCATACTGAAGTGTCCTCACTTACTAAGGTCTTACTGTCCTACAGACAACCCTTAAAATTTTACACAACAGAAAATGTAACTGAAGATTGGGAAAATTTTCTTTGGTCATTTTCATGAAAATTCTTTGGTATCAGAAACTTATGTCAAGAATTACTCTAAAGAAACTTCTGGGGGAATAAACAGACGAGTTGAGGACGTCTTATACTTTAGCTTCGATTACAAATATTTGTTTACCTTTACAGATATTCTGGGCTATTGGTGCTTGTTTTGAGGTGCTACTGGCACTCGTAGTCATGCCAACACTAGGCTGGAAATGGCTGCTGGGACTCTCTGCATTGCCATTGTTGCTGTTTTCTCTTTGCTGTTTCGTAAGTGACCGTGTTATATAGGCAGTCAAATTGTACCTATTTGGCAATAAACCCACTCATATTTATTGAAGTTTCATTAGAAGAGTTGACAAATGATATATCATTTGGCAGGATACAGGTAGGATACGTAAACCACCAGAATTGAATATTGCTTTATTTTTTATGTTTTTAACGTTTCACAGGGCAGTAGTACTGTACTATTTCGAAACTGACTTCAATCAGTAAAAAATCATTAAATTTGCTATATTTTGTTGGAATATTAAATATATAGACTTTATTTTACAACAATTGTGAAACTAGTTATTTCAACTGATATTAATCACTCTTGTTGGCCTGGATGTAAGTGTTGAGGGATCTTATTGTGGGAGGAAACCGGAGTACCCGGGGAAAACCCACATGGCTGGGCAGGTACCCCATTACCTTTTCACGTCCCTGTTGGGAATTGAACCCCGGACGGCTTGGTGAAAGGCGAGTGCATTACCACTGCGGTACCCGACCACAGTTGGAATATTACTTAGCAATATTAACAACTTTAGATAAAAGTCCATTTCATGTTGCTCATTAAGCCTTTAAAATATACAATGGAGAGCATTGATAGAGTTGTTTCTCTTGCAGTGGTTACCAGAAAGTGCTAGGTATGATATGTGTCGCGGCCAGCCTGATAAAGCCTTAGCCACACTAGAGAGGATTGCTAAGGAGAATGGCAAGCCCATGCCACTGGGCAGACTAGTGGAACCATCGATGAAAGTAGGTACTGTTGGTGAAGATGTTGTCTTTATACTGTCACATGACAAATGATAATGGCATGAATGAAATGTTTACAGCACAGCATGCGGAAACAAAAAGAAAAAAATTCTCATAATGTTCTATAAACACTAGCATCCATTTACAGTGTTTTCTGGGTTATAAGCTGCAGCTTTTTTCTTCAGTAGTTACATGTGCAGCATATATGCTGATGCATTTTATAGTTGGATTAAAAAAAATCCACAGAATGAAAAATAAAATGAAGAGTACTTTCTGGACATTGATTCCGGACCAGTATGTATTTCGGAACAGCCATTTTGTTGAGGTGTATCACATACACTATTAACCTGCATGACTTCACACCCTGATAATTTCATGTCACAAGTTCAATAATTGCTATTTTGGGTTTTTTTTTAACACCTTAAAAAATAAAGGACTTTCTGTATAGAATTCATTTGCAAACTTACATTAACATTGACAATGTTGATAACTTTCATGGTCTGTTATATCAACAAATTTTGGTAAACATAACAATCACCACATTGTAAGAAAGGGTGCGGTTTATGTTCTGGTGCGTTTTATTTGTGGATTAGATAAAAAAGAAAATTGCTAAAAGCTACCCTTGCAGGTTATACTCGGATGCGGTTTATAGCCTAGAAAACACGGTAAATTAAATTTTCTCTTTGTGTAAGGAAGAACCTTATAAAGTTTTTACATCTTACAATAAGCCTTAAAGAGCATTTGCTCGATAGGAGAGCAGAAACCCTTTACTGAGGCCCTTTTCAGAAGAAATAATTCTTTTGCTTCAGAAGATGGGATTTCTTGTGCTGGATGTTTCTAAAGTTGGCTGAATTCAACACCAATTAATCACAACGTATAAATTAATCATCTTTTGATCGTCTGTTGTAGGCTACGAACAGAGGAAGTATAAAAGACCTGTTTATACCAGAATTAAGAAAAACTACAATACTTTTATGGGTTATATGGTACGTAGCTAAAAATGACTCCTGGTCCAGAGGACTTGGTCGTTATCTGTTTCTTATTTGTCATGTCCAACTCCACAACTTTTTCTGTTAAATGCTTCAAGTCAAGAAAATCATGTAGAGTTAGATCAAATTTGATCCAGAGTTTTACTGTGTGAAGACAAATCAATGTGTGCGTACAGTGGAGTATGGTTCTGAATTTCTTTTGGGTAAAAGGGCAGGGCTCAATAGAGAGGAAAAAAATTCTGTCCATATTCTTTCATATCCATGAAATGAATTTAATCTTATGCTAGAGTCTCAATTCAAGTGAAGAGAATGGAATTCAGTAAAGATTCAAGAACTGCCCTTACCCACCCACCAACCCCCAAATTAAGTATAGGTAGAGGAACCCCCAAATTTAGTATAGGTAGAGGAACCCCCAATTTTAGTATAGGTAGAGGAATTGCCTTTATCTACCCTACACTCCCACACCCCCCACCCCCACACCAGGTTTGTTCAGGTGGAGGAACTGCCCCTAATTTATGGCAGTCTTAGGTGAAGGGAAAATGTTGTACATGTATAACCCTGATAAGTGGGGCCCAATAGGGATGATAAAGGATGTTTGTGTTCTTTAACTAACACCTTTTATTCTTGCAGGTTTGTGTCAGCTTTCTCCTACTATGGTATTGTTCTGATGACTACAGAATTATTTGAAATCTCTGATGGTTGCCATGGTAAGTGTTTGTTAGCCTTGTATCCATTACAAAGTTAGAAATGTGTTAACTCCTACAAAATTTCTATACTAAAAGCTCCTGACTGTGTGCTTTATTGATGAAAACAACTGACAGCTCCAGCTAAATATGCTCTGAAATCTATCAGACCTTTTCCTAAAAATTAATTCAATTTATGCTATAAAAAAAATCTGTGTAGTGCTTTATATATAGAGAAGTGTATATACTGTTATATACATGTACTTCCTTGTTAAGAATACATTGTGCTGAAACGTGTTAAGTGGTGTATTATTTATCACATAATTGTCTTGTTATTCAGTGATATACTTATATATCTTATTTTTTTTACATATTACACATGTTTGATATAGCTTAATGAGATGTCCCTTAAGATAATCAGTTGTCTCCCCTGATATATTGGGTTTTATTGTCTGTATCAAGAACCAGTTACACTGAGAGAAATTTGATGGTCCACTTGATCTCATTACATGTGTAGTTCACTGTATAAAAAAAAAAAAAAAAGAAAAAAGATTTTTTAAGGTTTGTCTTCAACAGGTACAGAGACTGGTAAGCCTTTCACCATGTTCCTTGGGGTGTAATGGGCTCACAGCCGTAATAGACTGGACTGTAGTGGCCTGACAGCCATAACAAACTCTATGGACTGTAGTGGTCTGACAGCTATAACAACCTCTATGGGCTGTAGTGGGGTGACAGCTAACATAACTTCTATAGACTGTAGTGGCCTGACAGCTATAATAACCTCTATGGACTGGAGTGGCCTGACAGCTATAATAACCTCTATAAACTGTAGTGGCCTGACAGCTATAACAACATTATAGACTGGAGTGGCCTGACAGCTATAATAACCTCTATGGACTGTAGTGGCCTGACAGCTATAACAACCTCTATGGACTGTAGTGGTCTGACAACTATAATAACCTCTATGGACTGTAGTGGCCTGACAGCTATAATAACCTCTATGAACTGGAGTGGTCTGACAGCTATAATAACCTCTACGGACTGTATTGGCCTGACAGCTATAACAACCTCTATGGACTGGAGTGGTCTGACAGTTATAATAACCTCTATGGACTGTAGTGGTCTGACAGCTATAATAACCTCTATGGACTGTAGTGGCCTGACAGCTATAATAACCTCTATGGACTGTAGTGGTCTGACAGCTATAATAACCACTATGGACTGGAGTGGTCTGACAGCTATAACAACCTCTATGGACTGGAGTGGCCTGACAGCTATAATAACCTCTATGGACTGTAGTGGTCTGACAGTTATAATAACCTCTATGGACTGTAGTGGCCTGACAGCTATAACAACCTCTATGGACTGTAGTGGTCTGACAGCTATAATAACCTCTATGGACTGGAGTGGCCTGACAGCTATAACAACCTCTATGGACTGTAGTGGTCTGACAGCTATAACAACCTCTATGGACTGTAGTGGTCTGACAACTAGAACAACCTCTATGGACTGGAGTGGCCTGACAGCTATAACAACCTCTATGGACTGTAGTGGTCTGACAGCTATAACAACCTCTATGGACTGTAGTGGTCTGACAGCTATAATAACCTTTATGGACTGTAGTGGTCTGACAGTTATAATAACCTCTATGGACTGTAGTGGCCTGACAGCTATAACAACCTCTATGGACTGGAGTGGTCTGACAGCTATAATAACCTCTATGGACTGTAGTGGTCTGACAGCTATAACAACCTCTATACTGTAGTGGTCTGACAACTGACAGGACTGGAGTGGTCTGATAATAACCTCTATGGACTGTAGTGGCCTGACAGCTATAACAACCTCTATGGACTGTAGTGGCCTGACAACTATAATAACCTCTATGGACTGTAGTGGCCTGACAACTATAACAACCTCTATGGACTGTAGTGGTCTGACAGCTATAATAACCTCTATGGACTGTAGTGGCCTGACAGCTATAATAACCTCTATGGACTGTAGTGGTCTGACAGCTATAATAACCTCTATGGACTGTAGTGGTCTGACAGCTATAATAACCTCTATTGACTGAAGTGTGCTGACAGCTATAATAACCTCTATGGACTGTAGTGGTCTGACAGCTATAATAACCTCTATGGACTGTAGTGGTCTGACAGCTATAATAACCTCTATGGACTGTAGTGGTCTGACAGCTATAATAACCTCTATGGACTGTAGTGGTCTGACAGCTATAATAACCTCTATGGACTGTAGTGGTCTGACAGCTATAATAACCTCTATGGACTGTAGTGGTCTGACAGCTATAATAACCTTTATGGACTGTAGTGGTCTGACAGTTATAATGGACTGTAGTGGTCTGACAGTTATAATAACCTCTATGGACTGTAGTGGTCTGACAGCTATAACAACCTCTATGGACTGTAGTGGTCTGACAACTATAACAACCTCTATGGACTGTAGTGGCCTGACAGCTATAACAACCTCTATGGACTGTAGTGGTCTGACAGTTATAATAACCTCTATGGACTGTAGTGGTCTGACAGCTATAATAACCTCTATGGACTGTAGTGGTCTGACAGCTATAATAACCTCTATGGACTGTAGTGGTCTGACAGCTATAATAACCTCTATGGACTGTAGTGGTCTGACAGCTATAATAACCTCTATGGACTGTAGTGGTCTGACAGCTATAATAACCTCTATGGACTGTAGTGGTCTGACAGCTATAATAACCTCTATGGACTGTAGTGGCCTGACAGCTATAATAACCTCTATGGACTGTAGTGGTCTGACAGCTATAATAACCTCTATGGACTGTAGTGGTCTGACAGCTATAATAACCTCTATGGACTGTAGTGGTCTGACAGCTATAATAACCTCTATGGACTGTAGTGGTCTGACAGCTATAATAACCTCTATGGACTGGAGTGGTCTGACAGCTATAATAACCTCTATGGACTGGAGTGGTCTGACAGCTATAATAACCTCTATGGACTGTAGTGGTCTGACAGCTATAATAACCTCTATGGACTGTAGTGGTCTGACAGCTATAATTACTTCTATGGACTGGAGTGGTCTGACAGCTATAATTACTTCTATGGACTGGAGTGGGTTTCGTTTTGATATTTACGCTTTTGATTTTGAATGCTGAGCCTTGTTCAGAAATTTGAAACCTTAAAAAGCTTGTTTTATTTACTGAAACTAGATATATAGTGTTGTTATTTATAGAATAAAGAACATACAATGATTTGTATATATATATATATGTAAATTTTCACTGCAACTGGCATTTGTTTATGACAAGCTTGATTCATGTATAAAAAACACAACTCGCAATGTATAGAGAATATTAGGTGGGTTTAGATGCTGTTTTGATATTAAGTTTTCTATATAGTTGATATTAACATTGATATGTATGTTAAATGTTTGAGAAATTATTTCCTATTGTAATAGCTAAATAGAACAAAGTCAAAACAATTGATGATGTTACTAACATCAGTACTGTTGATGCCTTTTTCTCCTGTGTTCATGAAAGAGATGCTCAGTTAATAAGATTGTTCATAGTTGTTCATGAAGTTTGCAGGATAAATAGAATGCATCCTGGCTTTTAGAATTTCAAGATGGTCCCTGAGCATTAGAGTGTCTTAACTGTCAAGTAATTGTTACCTTTTAACTTATATACCTGAAAATACTCACCATGATATTTAACCTGGTTAGTGACAAGATTGGACCATTGGGTTCTGAGTATCTATCTGCAATTTTATGTTCCTATGATAAAGATGTCCCATGTCCCCATGATAAAGATGTCCCATGTCCCTATGATGAAGATGTCCCATGTCCCCATGATAAAGATGTCCCATGTCCCCATGATAAAGATGTCCCATGTCCCCATGATAAAGATGTCCCATGTCCCCATGATAAAGATGTCCCATGTCCCTATGATAAAGATGTCCCATGTCCCCATGATAAAGATGTCCCATGTCCCCATGATAAAGATGACCTATGTCCCTATGATGAAGATGTCCCATGTCCCTATGATAAAGATGACCCATGTCCCTATGATAAAGATGTCCCTATGATAAAGATGTCCCATGTCCCTATGATAAAGATGACCTATGTCCTTATGATAAAGATGTCCCATGTCCCCATGATAAAGATGTCCCATGTCCCCATGATAAAGATGACCCATGTCCCTATGATAAAGATGTCCCATGTCCCTATGATAAAGATGACCCATGTCCCTATGATAAAGATGTCCCTATGATAAAGATGACCCATGTCCCTATGATAAAGATGTCCCTATGATAAAGATGTCCCTATGATAAAGATGTCCCATGTCCCTATGATAAAGATGCTGCTATGATATGGTTATCCTTATGATAAAGATTGACAGTGCTCTAGCAGCTTCATTCCCTTTTGGATTTTGATAGGACTTCACACACTAACAAACCATTATGATATCTTGGACAAGTTTGAGTTTCAAAGTTTTAGGGTCAAGGTCACTGTAACTAGCTTTAGAAAATCTCTGTCAGTGCTCTTATTGGTGATGAAAATGTATTATCAGATTTACATACTTTTATTTATTGTATTGTTACGTTAAGATCAGTTACAATCTAACTGTATGCTTTTCTGTTTATCCAAATTTACACGTAACATATATAGATATGTATAGATCATTACTGTGTAATAGCTTGTGGGAGCTCGTTGTGAACATGGATTGCTTCAGCAGTACTTGATATGCTTGTTTTATGTAAATAATATTAGTATTATGGTTCTGGTGCCTATTTCTCCTCTAGATCCATATTGTGATACGGTAAACCTCCCCAGCAGTGATCCCTTAATTGTTTTCTAGTATTTGTCAAGACTTCCGTAAACTGAATGAATACAAAAAAAAATAAAATAAATGTAAAATAAATGTCTTCCCTTTTCATTGATTACAATTTGTGATAAAAAATGACATTTTGAAATTTTAGGGTTTTACCTGTCAGGTTTTCAAGTAATACCTGCTGATGATGACAAAAATCACTGTTATATCTTCTAAAAGTTTATTTCTTTATCAAAATCTTTTCAACAAAACCTTTGAGTGCTGTCATGATCCACATTATATTGTGACTATCGTATGATGGTTTTATCTTCAGGTTCAGAGATCAAAGCCAAGGCACCATGCTTCCTTAAGTGTAATGGCCTTAATACAGGAGATTACATAGATCTGACCTGGACTACCTTCGCTGAGTTTCCAGGTAAAAGATTTTTTCTGTTTTTCTATCTCTTCCATTGTATCACTCATTAAGGTGCATGTGTCTGAATGTGCTAGTATTATTGTGTGCCAGTATTATTGTTTCAATTTCCAAAATATTGTAGTCATAAATGACACAAAAAAAAGATAATATGTATTGTTTTTGCTGTATATGATAATTTTAAATCAGTCTTCATGGCATTTTAGTGTAAATTAGTCAGATTTTAGTTTCTGTAAAATTTGTGATGTAGTAATGATTGTCAGGACTTCAGCTGGACTCTAATGGTTAATCAGTGTTTATTGTAAGGATTTTGAGGAATATTGTGAATTATATTGTAAATCTGTGTGAACTGTAACTATGGTAATTACCGGTAGATGATTAATCAGTGTTTATTGTAAGGATTTTGAGGAATATTGTGAATTATATTGTAAATCTGTGTGAACTGTAACTATGGTAATCAGATCTTACAAGATGGTGAATTGCTTGATAATGTCCAGCCGGTAACTGATCATTGTATTTTCCAGGTTTGTTTGTCACCGTAGTGGTTATAGAGAAGATTGGAAGGAAGTATACAATGGCTATGGAATTCTTTGTCTTTACTGTTTTTGTTCTGCTGTCTAACATATGTACATCAAGGTAAGGAAGCTTGGTTGCCTAGGTGATACATCGTCTTATTAAATATGGCTTTTCTATATAGTAAATTCTTAAAAATCCATCCATGTTGGAATGATTTAGTTTTGTCCAGATTTGATCTGAAGCATCCTTTGGTGAAGTGAACTTACAAACAGTGCATCTAACCCCTAGGGGAGGAGGGGCATAGCCTAATAGGGGTAATTGATATAATTTTTTAAAAGTACTTTTCCAGGTGAGAATGACAGGTGAGCAATACAGGTCCTATATGCCTCTTGTTATTTACACTGCAACTTCAAATCTAAGACAAATGATAGGTGAAATCAACCAATTGGCTGCAGATTGAGATTTATATCCTGTTTTAGTCGGAATAAACCACAAAGTACAGGAATACTGACTTTAGTCTCTTTCTTCATAACAACACAACTTTTACAAAGGAATGTCCTGAAAAAGCTTTATTTAAAACTGTATGGACATTTATTCATGTAATTGTAAATGGATGGTGCACAATGATCAACAAATGAGTTGTTACAGTCATGGATCATTTGAACCTAAAAGATTGAGATGGGAAAAATGAAAAATGAATTGTTTTCTGTTTTATAGGCCTGTCTTGACGTTCTTCCTATTTGTAGCCAGAGCTTTTATATCTGGAGCCTTCCAGGCAGCTTACGTATATACACCTGAGGTAAGGTACTTTGTGTAGTCAGTATGTAGGATTTATGGGTAAAGGATTTACATTTAAAAATATTTTGCGTCATAATTTAAAAACTGAGGTTTTCAATGAATGAATTTTATTATTATCATTACTAACTTTCCTAACATGTTAATATAACTAACCAGATATACCTGGTAAAAATGTTTCTTTTTGAGGACCACATCTATAAATAACAATGACACGGTAAGGTAGCTATTTCTTTTGTAACATCACAAAGATTACTCCATTCAAGTGCAATAGTAGATTGTACAAAAGAATGAAGATAGTGATTGTGAATAGATTTGTGAGTATAAAACAGGTATATAACTGGTGTTATACGACTTGTTCAGTATATGGTATATAGCTTGTGTTGTAGGTCTACCCTACCTCTATGAGGGCTATAGGACTGGGTTGCTGTAGTGCTGACTTATTCAGTATCAGTATATAACTTGTGTTGTAGGTCAACCCTACCTCTATGAGGGCTATTGGACTGGGTTGCTGTAGTGCTGACTTGTTCAATATATGGTATATAACTTGTGTTGTAGGTCTACCCTACCTCTATGAGGGCTATTGGACTGGGTTGCTGTAGTGCTATGGCAAGAGTTGGAGCTATCATTACACCTTTTATAGCACAAGTAAATATTTAGCATTTCAAACAAGACTGGTCAATGTGTCTAACTGTCCAACTGTTTAAACTTATGTCGGTCAAAACTTTAATCATTTTGTCTGTCTAAACTTGTATTGGACCAACTGTTCAAACTTGTATTTATCTCATTGTCCAAACTTATATCTGTCTAAATTTAATTGTATCATTCTAACTGTCCATATTTGTATCTGTCTGTCCACACTTGTATCTGTCTGACTGTCCGTATTTGTATCAGTCTGTCCACACTTGTATCTGTCCACACTTGTATCTGTCTGACCGTCCGTATAAGTATCTGTCTGTCCATACTTGTATCTGTCCAAACTTTTATGTGTCTAAACATATCTCTGCTTAACTACAGGTGTTGCTGAGATCATCATCCTACATGGCCATTTCCACCTACGGTGTGATAGCCCTGGTGGCCACTGCCGTGTCTGTTTTGTTACCCATAGAAACTAAGGGAAGGGAGATGAAGGTAAGTCCAAATAGGATGTGTTACCCTTTTGAACTAAGTAGCATCATGAGAGAAGAAAATAAATTGAACAAGATGTGAAACTCTTTGAAACCAAGAGTGTGATGAGGAATGTATGTCCAGATATGGCTGACAATTTTTCCAGGTCAGATTTATCACAATTTTTCAATTTAATTGTATTACAATGAATGAAAATTTTGCATTCTGGATGTTTTTGCAGTCATGTTAAAAGGTACTGCGAAATATTGAAATATCATCCCTACAACAACAAAGGCTATATGGTAACTTGTTTTTAAAGAAAAGAGACATGAGACAAAAGCTCTAATTGGTTATGTTACCCATGGAATCCCTGTCTTGGAAATGAATAGCGGAGTGCTATGGATTAAACAGCATTTAGACATCAATTGTAATATATGTAATGTGTATAAAATTCTAAACGAAGTCTTAAAATATAACTACAGTTTTTATGTGCTGTTATTTGATGAGGACTTATAGTGTTAATGATATCTGTCCTGTTTTGTTTACAGTTATCCGTGTAACTTTAAGGGATTTTGATAGTAAAGATCGTTCACAAAATGTACAACAGTACCTGGGAAAAGTTTGTGTTTGGGGTTCTAAGGTCAAGGTCACAGTTATTATTAAGAATTGATGGTCAAACATTGATAGAGTGATGGAGTTGGGGCATTAATATCTTATAGATATAGTCTAGCTTGTCATCTTATGGGCGTTAATTGTACTATCAAATATATCATTGTCTGTAGTATAACATAGACCTATATCTAAAGTGTTTCTCTGTGACATAAATAAAAACCTTGTATTTCTTACAGGACACAAGTCATGAGGTTCAGACCACTTCTACCAGATGAGAGGGGTTGTCTCCCCTTCAATATTAATCATCATGACCTTCTACAAGTTGACGCAGCATAGATGTCGATACATGTCCAGCTTCCGGCCTTAGTGTGTTTAGTGTAGAAGGTGGAAGTGGTGTCAGGTGTTCGTTGATGTTATTGATTGGTGACTCGGCAGATATATAATACACATATTGTATTGTCATGTTATGTATATTATGTATGTAACCAGCCAAAGAAGCCTTGCTGGAATTAAGAATTATTAGTTTTATTTCATCAATCGCTTTGAAATTGAAATAAACGTAAAATTCTGTCAGTTAAATGATAATGATTACTTGCAAATGTTCTAGAAAATAATATTTTCTTAGAGTGACTTGAATCTAACAAAGATATTTGAATTTCAGAATGTTCTTTTGTATGCCATTCAATATAAATTAGAACCTTATCATCTTAGGTAGCTGGCGTGTCAGTGTTATGACCTAAAGCTTAACACAGCTTCTCTTGGTGTTGTTAGACATGTCCATTATACATGTGTATAGCTATATATAATGGGCCTTTTCAAGATGATAAAAGATTGCATTTGTGATATTAGGAATCACACATATATTTATTTTTATTCTGTGATGAATAGATATTTGTGTATAATGCTTACGATAATTGAAATAGAATACTGGTATTTATTGTCCTTTCATAATTATCTGTATGTATTGAACAGTTGCTGGAAGTAATTGAAAAGTTTCAAATGATAGGACAAAGGAAATATTTACAATCATCATGGTAGTTTTAGGATTTTGTTTTTAATACTACATACGGTATCAACTGTTTCAATTTTCATAGAAATGTATACTTTTGATCATAATAATCATTCTTTTGCCACGTTTTATACAAAATATGATTCTTGATATAAGTATATGATTTATATATATATGTAACCTTGATAAGAACTAGCCACAATATACCACTCGGCTGGAGAGAACTTCTCTTTAGCTCGATCAGTTGAGCGTCAGACTAGTAAGTCAGGGGTCCCAGAAGGCATTGAACTAAAAAAGACAGGTAATTCAAATCTAAAACCTTTAAGTCAACATACATTACTTTGTATGATGCTCTGTGTTAATTTATTACTATTTAGACATCGTAACATAACTGACAAAGGACTAATTATCAACAAGAAATAGCTGCTCAGAACCCTCTAGTGTTATCAAAAGTAGATAAATATAGAAGAGCATTTCAAGGGAGATAATCTAGGGGAGAGATCATTACTTGTTAAAGATAACATATTATCAGTCGTAATTCAATGAAGAATTCTGAAGTAAATGTACCAACCATTGTCATGTGATAGATTACTTTTCCCAACAAAGGAAAAACAAAAATGTTAAGGAGGTGATGGTGGATTTTGTACATTATGTCTACCAAACAGTAGAACAGACATCTTCACCAGAAAATGAGTTTTTTCAGTAATTGTTTTATTTATAATAAGTGTCTGAACATTTAGTATACCCATTAAAATTATAGATTAGTAGGATGAAATAATTGCTGTGTATAGACTTTGGAGAAATGATGATAAGTTTTTGCATTTAACATTGTTTTCTTGCAATGAAATGTTTTTGTTTGTCCTTGGTACTGAGGGCTGACCAATCCATACAATGACAATGTAATCCTATGTATCAGAAAAACCATATCACTGGAATATACCAACAACTGTATGGCTTAATGTTTAAACTTGGTACCCATGGACTAAGAAGTGCGACTGAATAAGTACGGATGGTTCCCATAGACTAAGAAGTGTGACTGAATGTGTACAGATGTCACCCATAGACTAGGAAGTGTGACTAAATGTGTACGGATGGTTCCCAGAGACTAAGATGTGTGACGGAATGTGGACAGGAAGTTCCCTTAGACTGAAAAGTGTGACTGAATGTGTACAGATGGTTTTCATAGACTGAGAAGTGTGACTGAATGTGTACGGATGGTTCCCTTAGACTAAGAAGTGTGACTGAATGTGTACGGATGATTCCCATAGACTAAGAAGAGTGACTGAATGTGTACAGGTGGTACCCATAGACTAAGAAGTGTGACTGAATGTGTGCAGATGTCACCCATAGACTAAGAAGTGTGACTGAATGTGGACAGGTGGTACTGATAGACTAAGAAGTGTGACTGAATGTGTACAGATGTCACCCATAGACTAAGAAGTGTGACTGAATGTGGACAGGTGGTACCCATAGACTAAGAAGTGTGACTGAATGTATTCAGTTAGTTCCCATAGATTAGGAAATATCACTAGATGTGTACAGATGTTCCCATTCACAAATTACATATACTTTACTATAGCATCCATTATGGATGCACTAGATTACCAAAAAGTGAAAAAGCACTAAAATGTTATTGCACTAAATCATGTTTTTTTTTAATATTCTATTTGTTCAATAATATTCGACAAGTTTGGCAGAAGTTAACACAACTTTAAAACATATTCAATGTTATTTGTATACTATGTATTATGTTGGAAAAGGAATCAGTTTTGTACCATTGACTTGTCTGATTTAAGCTTAGTATTAAACTGACACTGGGGGAACATTGTTGTTTTGGATATAAAGGATGACAAACAACAGTAAATCAAACAGATATCATCCTCACTACAATTCTGTTTAGATATCTTGTCTTAGGGGAAAGTGGTCTGAAATTTACTCTCGATTGCATACAGAGCAGTAATCATTACCATCAGAACATTGGTAATCATGTTCCTGAGGTACCATTCTCGTAACGCAGGCAGAGGGAAGTCTTTCTATTTAAATTAGCTGTACCAAGCAATATTTTCTAATGTCCTTTTCCCATTTCCAGTTGAGGTATTGGAATATAGCCAAATATCACCGACCCTAGTTTAAACCAATATTAACTGTTAATATCAGAAGTAGTGCATTGTGTACATATTTTGGTTATTTTACATCTGAAGATGGTTGTAATTCAAGTGTTAAAGCATCTATTTCATGGGGACTGATAAAGTGTCAGGAATGAAATTTTCTGTTTATCTTTTTTAATCTTATTTCTCTCAAAAGTTCCTACAAGATATAAAACGAGGGCATTAGTTTATATGGTTTTAAATAGCTGTACAGAGAATCCTACAAGAGTGTTGTCAAGTTTTACCTTGTGATATTGGTAAATATAATATAGTGTACAATGTGTAAGGTTTATCCTAGAATACATATTACCATGCTCATTACGTGCTGTGATTTTTCAGGTGAAATTATAATCTCCATGTATTGTATCTGTAGGCTGTACTTGTGTATTATTGGTGAGGGTTCCTAGGGAGTAATGCTTCACATCAAAACTTCATCATAAATCTAAGTCTTATATTATTACTGTCGTGTGTATATCATGCACGCAGTTTCTGTAGACAAAACTGACTTTATTTAATACCTTATAATTGTACTTTTTCTTGTCCATTTCTTATAAGATGTACATTAGTATATTTCAAAACCAGATATTATGACCAGTGATCTGCTAACTATTTACTTTTTTATGTTTTATTAACTTTTACATCAATATGCCTTGGATCTACATTTGTTATCTCATGTATACTTGTGTGACCAAGAATTATTATCATAATTATCATTTTCATATTGTGATCATGATCAGTAGTTTCCTCATGTTGACAAGAATCTCATCAGGGTCAGAGAATAGTTTGTTTCCTCGTGTTGACAGGAATCTCTTCATTGTCAGAGAGGAGTTTGTTTCCTTGTGTTGATACAAACCTCATCAGGGTCAGACAGGAGTTTGCTTCCTCCTGTTGATTGGAACCTCATCTGGGTCATAGAGGAGTTTGTTTCCTTTTTATTGGTACTTCTGTAAAACTGAAATAGTGATTGATTGATTGTATACATTCATATACATCCTATAGGCTACTAGATGTTTTCCTTTATAAATATAATTATTACCAGGCATGGGCTTATTGCCGAATATATGCTTAACTATTGTGATGGAATTGTAAGGATAAACATCAAATTAATTCCAAAAACATAAATAATGTTATATGACAGGACCCTGGCTGGTTAAGTTACTGTGTATTTGTCATTTTAACCTCTTTCATGATTCAGAATCTGTGTTGGCAAAGTTTTAAGATGAATTTTATTTTAAACGGCAGTTAAATCTGTCTAAACTGAATAGTATTCATCGTGTTAATTATCAACAAGCAGATTTTGTGTAAGAAAATATAGAAAATTGTAACAGTTACTTGTCATTTGTAAATTATTCTGATGTGAATAAGATTTTAAGTTTGTAGCTATGATAGGGTCTAAATGTTAATATATAATGTGATGTAATCAAGTTCATGGATATAGTTTTGTATTAGGTTGATGAGGAATAGATGTCCATGATGTAGGTTTGTAGTCAGTTTATTCCAGCTGATGGTTGATACATTTCCTTAGATATGGGACGGGGAAATTGTTGTTGATGTGCGGCGATATATTAACGATATCTAGTTATTGTGATTACTGTTGTTAATATTTGTTGTTACCGGTTTACAATTTACCATGACAAAAATGGCTGTTTGCAATAAGAGTAATAATGGTTTTTATTTCCTATAAATGATCAAAGTAAATTTGCACAATATGTATATTTGCTAATTGTATTTATCTTTCAATAAGCCCATGGGCCAACATACAAGTTCTGCCTCAAAGTGAGAGGTGGACTTATTGAGAACAATAGCATTTGTAATAGACAGTAGATGTAGGTGGGCTTATTACCAGGCATGGGCTTATTGTAGATAAATATGAAGTATTATTTATTAACTATATTTCAAAATATGATTTTGGTATGGAATCTCAATTTCTGTATGTGATGGAAAGTTTGATAGGCTGTACACGTCTAAAATAAAGCGAGATATTTAAAACTTTACCTGATAATATAACCTTATACAGCAGACACATTCATCATGTATTGCTTTTCATATTACATGGTGTGAAAAAACATCCAAAAACTAATGAAATGTGTTTTTTTAAAACTATCATAAATTTGATTCT